CCCTCCCCAGTGCCGCTGCCGCCATCTTGTGTCCCGGGCCGGGACTCCGCGCTGCGCATGCGTTGGTACCGCCTCTGAGGGGCCTCGCCACGGCCGCGCCGCCATTTTGAGTGTGGCAGAGCCGGCCGGTCCTTCAGACCTTGTTTTTGGCCCCCTCCCCTCTCTCCCGTACTTCCCTGCTGTCCCGCGCAGTTCAGAGGGGGAGGGAAACAGGTTTGCTGTGCCTGGGGTGTGGAATAAGGGAAGAATAATTCGCAAACACCCCGGCTTCAGTTTTCCCTCTTGAGCACACCCAGAGGGGCCGGAGGATGTTTGGGCGAACGGAGGGGAGCGAGGTGGCTTTGGCGTCTCCTGGTCACTTGCGTTTAGCCGCCGGCCTCGGGGCGGGGTCTCGGTGACGTCGGCGCCGGACAGTGTCGGTACCCGGGTCCTAGTCTCCGCGGCTCTGCAGCTTCCGGGCCGTGCTTTTACCCTCCCTGCGCGTCTGTAGCCGGAGGACGCCAGAGTATAGTCTTAAGGGCCTGACTCCATGTCAAGCTATTTGCGAATCGAACCTTCTCCCGGTTCCGAGCTGTGTAAGATGTAAGTGCTACCGACTAGAAGAAAACACGGCCGGGGTTGGTATCTAGTAAAGATGGCTGTGGGCATAGTTGGAAGGTTCTAACGAAATCGGAGGGGCTTTCCAGCCTTAACCTAGCTGACCCCCAGTTCAGAAGCCGCGGTGCTCGAGGTAGAGCGCTTCTCTGGCCCCCAGCACTGCAGAAACAGACTATCGAACAGACCCAAATGGGGCCGCCGAGGTTAGCCAAAGAAGGAAGACCCTTGCTGGATGTCTTTTTGGGGTGGCTTAGTAGTGTCTCCACCCACCTCTGGCCTCCTCTACCCCAGCAGCCTTAAAATAGCTGGAGGAGGGGACAGGTTTGCCCCCCTGCTGTTACAGGGCGTTGTCTTGTGGAATCGGAGGCTGCAGGTGTTCCTGTTTGCCTGCCTGCAGCTTAGGTGGTGGAAAACAAGAAAAACAGCTAAGAGGTATAAGTCTCTTGAGTCGGCTTTCATACCTCTGCCCCCGTATCCTAGATGCGCGACATTGAGAGAGTTACCCTCTAGGAAGATAATAAAGCCACCTACTTCCTAAAAGGTTAGGTGGCAGACCTCAGGTGATGCACGCATGTACTTACCACAGACTGAGAGCACTTTGTGCGTAATAAATGTTAGCTGTAATCACCTCACAGGCATTGCTGTGAGTAGATTATGAGCTCTGGATGTAGTGAAGTGAGCCTGCTCAATTTAGGCATAGCAGGTCCCTTCGTTCCTGCCCTCAGAGCAACCTGAAGAAAACCAAAATAGGGCCTGCCTCAGGCCTATACGGAAGGACCACAGGTCATGCTCAGGAAGGAGTCTTGGTTTATGCCTGTGTCCTGGTGTAATTATTAATATTGCCTCATTTCTCAAAAGTGCTTTGATTTGAGCATCAAATTATACAATCAACCTACAGAATGCCCAGATTTAAAAGCTCCCTAACTAGTTCTTACACTGAAGTGTAGAAACCATGTAGTGATTGTGATGTTCGTTTATGTTTTCAAAGTATCTTCTTATTCGTTGTTAAGTGATAACCAAGACAACAAACGTCACCAAGTGTCTCCTGTTTTATCAGGGAATCCTGTGAGAAATTACTACCTCAGGTCTGCGTATGCAAAACGGGGAGGTACAAATTTCCTATGATGAATGTGCTCTTTCTAAAGTGTACCAGTACAATTTTTCCAGAAACTACAGTATACTATGGGGAAGCTTTCCAAAGCTGTCTTGCTTTGCTCCCAGAGACTGCTGCCTCCAAAATTAGGACTACTGAATTCCCAAGGACATACAAATAAAAGTGAAGTATAGTACTTTTTAATTAGAAAAGTAGCCGGGGATTTAGCTCAGTGGTTCTGCTGCCTACCTTGCAAGCACAGGGACCCGAGTTCGATCCCCAGTACCAAAAA